CTAGAAGGTGATTCTAACCAGGAACACAGAAATAACCTGGGCTATGGGATTTTATTGCCACTAGCCACAAAACCTCACTATTAGGAACACAGGCTTTAGAATCAGATGGAGGTGGGTTTCTCTCTCTTCTGTCACTTAACTAGCTGTGACCTTGACCAGTCGCTCAACTGGTCTGAACTTCAGTTTCCTGATCCCTAAAGGGAGGATAATAATGCTATCCTCGTAGTGTGCTTTAATATTTAAGTGAGATTAACACATGTAAACTTTTTCACATTAAGTACTCAAATTCACACAGTATCTACTGCATGCCACCTGCTGGCTATGCTGAAAACATGGCTCTGTTCTTAGGGGTTTAAAGTCTGATACAGGCGGCTAGCAGGTTAGAGAAGCCCAGGGAGGCAGGGAGACCGAGATGTAAGGGTGAATACTGTAGACGCTGCTGCTGTGATTACCCAAATCCGGAGTCCCAGGGACGTGGACGGAGTAAGGAGGCCCGCGATCTCACTAAGATCCGGGGTCACAGGGGGCTATCTGGGATCAGAGATTACGGGAAGGATCAGCAGGACGGGAGACATGGAAGAGAGGGCGCTGGCCGGACACGCCGTGAGGACCTGGACCGCTCCTTACCCGCAAGGGGCGGGAGACCCCCTCGCAACATCCCAAACACCGCCGCAGCCATTTCCACCGGAAGAACAGGTGGGAGCGAACGGAGACGGAAAAAGCTAAGGATTGTGGGGCAGAGAGCTCTTGGGGCCGGAAGTAGTGAGCGCACTCGCCTGCTGTAACGGTAATCCGCATGCGCAGACCCTGGCCTCCGGCGCACTGGTGCCGGTCCTTGCCCCTCCCCGAGCCTGGCGTCCGGTCTCCTAGCAACAACGCCAGACTCCCGGGAGCTGCCCGTTTCTCGCCGCTCCTGCGAGACTCCTCGGTTTCTAAGAGAAAAGCTCCCCCACACCCCTCGAACTCCAGACCCTAGACTTGCTTTGTCTCTGACCTCACCCTCAACAATTTGCTCTGAATCAACTTCTTTGCCGTGGCTCCCGAGATGAGCTTCTCTCCTCTGCCATTCTGAGTTCCAACGTCCAAACTGCTCGACTCCTTTTTGTTCCTCTCCCACCTCTGGCCAGCAGCTTTTAATTTTAGATCATGCCTGGAGGTGAGTAGGGAGTTGGGCTAGCGGGTAGAACAGTTGGACCACAGTTTGGCCTCCCAAGAATGAGGAAATGTAACCGTTGCATTCATCTTTTCCTAGCTACGCTTGCCCAGAGCCCGGAGAAAGGGGGCGTCTGCATCACTGAAGCCCTTATCACTAAGCGGAACTTGACCTTCCCGGAGGATGAGGATCTGTCAGAAAAGATGTGAGTGCATGGGAGAAGAAAGGTGATAATTAATCCTGCTGATTTCCCTTCCTTGAAAAGCGGTTTTTTGTCTTTCACCATCTTCACTCAACTACATTAGATAAGGCTGCCTCACCTCTCAACCAACTCTTATTGTCTCCCTTCCCCAGTCCAGCCTCTCCCTACGCTTGCCAAATAGTCCTTTTAAATGACAGATCTGACCAGACACTCAGATAGAAACTTCCTCAGCTCCCTGTTATCTTCTGAAAAAAAAAATCCAAAGGCCTTAGCATGAGCTGATCTCTGCTATTTTTTTACCCTTATTTCTGACCACATTCCGTAAGTGTGCAATCTCTCACACCGTGTTCTCATACTTTAGCACCTCACTATTCAGAGTGTATATCAGGGGAGGTCGGTGGCATTGGGATCACTTACTAGAAATGAAGACTCTCAGGCCTACCCCAGACCTACTGAGTCAGAATCTGCATTTTAACCACCCCTTGCCCAAAGTATTCATACATCACTAAAATTCCAGAAGGGCTGGATTAACACATACTATTTGTTCTGCTGGTAATGCCTTCTCCCCATCTCCCTTCCATTTTACTGGCTAATTCCTAGTCATCTGTCCCCTCCTCCAGAAAGCATTCCCTGGTCACCCCTGGCCTAGTCCCTTGGACTTAACCTTTATTATCCACTGGTCATAGATGGTTCACCTGCTTCCTTAATGGTGGTGGACAGGGACTCTGTCATTTGTCTCTAGTAAGCACGTTATCTGTTAAGTGTGGAATTAATGAATAGGTGGATGGAACAAGTGACCTTTCCTCCATGGACCATACAGAAGAGAGAGGAGAGGGTCAGCAGGTGGCGTGGTGGTTAAGGCACTGGACACTCCCACAGTTGGCCGACCACAGTTTGAGTCTCAGACCTGGTGGCTTGCTTTCTCACTTTCCTTTTCTCTGTGTGTCCGTCTTTCTCTGGTCAAATTAAAGTGATTGAATGAATAAATGAAATTAAATAAATAAGTCTTTTTTAAAAAAGAGAGAGGTGGGACCAGCAGTTGATGTAATGTCGCTGGACTCCCATGTAGTCAACCGTGGTTGGAGTCCCAGACCCAGTGGCTTAAACTCACGCTGGGTGTGTGTGCATGAGTGCCCAAGATCCCGAGAGGAGAAGAGAAGGGATTGTGGTGTGGTCATCCCCCCTGGGGGGTGATTTCTCACTTTCTGTCTCTCTCTGTCTTTCTGGCAAGCACACATGCCCTATAGCAAAAATCTCTCAAAAAAAAAAAAAAAAAAAGAAGAGAAAGGAACTTCCTGCCGAGATTATCACAGCTCTGTCCCTGCCCCTGCCTCCACCCTCCAAGCTACTCCAAGGAAGGCTTCTCATGTCTCTGATCCTCAAGGACCTGAACTACCAGTTTCTCAGAGGGCTCTTACTTCTCTCTTAAAATCCAAGTCTCCAAGTCAAGCCAGATTCATGATCTGGATACCACATTGTGAGTCAAAGCTATTCCTGACAGCTGCTCAAGTCACTCATACATCTACCTGTCCCTGTTCCCTGCTCCTTCTCTCCCATCTTCCCTAGTAGGAGACCACAGAGGTGGCACCACACCACCCATCAACTGTTCTTCCAGGTTCCACACTCTCGCTGAGCTGCAGACCGTTCGCCTGGACCGGGAGGGGATTACAACTATCACGAACTTAGAGGGCCTCCACAATATTCATAGCCTCTATCTGCAAGCGGTAACTTCTTGTCCCCTGCCTTTCCTCTCCCTACATTTCCTGGGGAATAAGCCTGCCTAACCAGAAAGGAGCCACCAGAACATTTTGTTTTTCTTTTCTTTGTTTTTAGTTTTGCTGTAGGGTGCACATGCTCACCCAAGAGAGAGAGAGAGATGGAAAATGAGAAATCATTCCCCAGGGGGGATGACCGTGCTGCAGTCCCTTCTTCACTCTTCTCTTAGGATTTTAGGCATACATGCACATGTGCCTGGTGTGATTTTCAAGGTGCCGGGTCTGAGACTCAAACCATACAGTTGGCTATGTGGGATCCACTGCCTTAACCTCCATGCCACTTGCTGGCACCCAACCAGGACATTTTGACCATTCTCTGGGGTTCAGGCAGACAGACCTCCATTTAAACCATTCTGAGTTGAATCAAGCATTCTCCTGAATTGGAAGACTGATCACCCCAGAAGATGGATGAACATGCTCTTGAATCGCTGTTCTTTAGTCAAACGTGCCTCTTGGTGTCTCCCCTAAATCTTTCTGTATAGCTCAAGTCTATTTCCTATTTTGAAGACAAAGAAAATATGAAGATTCCTCTATACTCTTCAGATCTTTGAAGGCTGTTTGGTGGTGGTTGTAGTTGATCTTCAGCCTTCCCCAGTTTGAATGTACCCAGCTCCCATGAACTTTCCCCACAGAAACTTAACAAATCAAATTAAGTCAAGGAGTCTTCAGAAAGTTCATGGGAATTCACGTTATGAAAAAACTATGCATAGATTTCTATTCTTTTTAATTAAATTTTTAAAAAATTATTTAACATTTATTTATTTATTTGTCCAGGACTCGAACCATGGTCGACCATGTGGGAGTCCAGCACCGCCAACCACCATGCCACCTGCCGGCCCCATAGATTTCTATTTCTTGACACAAAAATAGCCTTGTACTTTAATTCCATTTTCCCACAAACTTGTTGAAGTCCCCTCACATATGCTCATTGTTCCTTCCGTGTTTGTGTGTGTGTGTCAAGCCACCACCAAGGTCACTCTGGTTGTGAAGGTCAGTTTAGCTAGCCCCAAGTTTATACCCTTAGTGATTTACCTGGAGAAAGGAAGTCATCTTTCCAGCTCAAGGAATGGGGTGACATTCCCAAAGTACCAGACGTCCAGCCACAGGACTGGACATAAAGGGCCCCCTCCCAGCTCACGTTTGCATGGTTTCCCCACTTTGGCCTTTTTATTTTGTTTTAATAATTATTTATTTAATTTTATTTACTCATTCATTTATTTTAATTTGACCAGAGAGAGACACAGAGAGAGAGGGGGGAAATGAGAAAGCAAGCTACCAGGTCTGGGACTTGAACCGTGGTTGACAATGTGGGAGTGTCCAGCACCTTAACCATTACACTACCTACTGGCCTCTACCCACCTTGGTTTCTTCTTGCAGAATAAGATCCAGCGAATTGAGAACCTGGCTTGCATCCCCTCCTTGCGGTATGTGATGGTGCCAGAATTTGGTGGGGGTGGGGGACTGGAGCACCTGGCAACACCCTAAAACACTGGTTCAGGTCTCTCTCAGTCTGGCCCCTTTTCAGCTGTGGACCTAGCCAGCCTCGCTCTGCCTCTCTCACCCTAAGGCTATGTGTCACTTGTCATCCAGCTGCTTTTCCAGGGAGCCCTGGAACCTGGTACCCTTCTCCCTTCCTCCAGCAATTCTGAGTCAGCTCCTCCTCCACTGCAGCTTCCTGTCTCTGGCAGGAAACCGAATCAGTCAGGTGGAAAACCTCCTGGACCTCCCATACCTGCAGTTCCTGGACCTTTCTGAGAATCTGATAGAAACACTGAAGCTGGGTAGGAGCACCCATGCCCTGGCTCACGGAACACGTCTCGTGGGGCCCACCCTCCTCTCTGCCCCATCTCCCTTGTGCTGGCATGAGCCCCTGCATGCACACTTCACCCTCAGATTATCCAGGGGGTTGCATGGAGGGCATGGTGGCTTTGGACTGGGTGATGGGCATGCAAACCTCATCCTCCCTCCTTGCTGTGGGCAGACGAGTTCCCCCAGAGCCTTCTCATCCTCAACCTTACCGGGAATGGCTGCACCAAGCAGGATGGCTACAGGTGAGGAAGGGCTGTGAGGGTAAGAAAGGTGACAGCTGAGCTACACCTGCTAACTTTACACAGGCCAACTCCATCCACATAGGCCCCCTCTCAGCCAGCAGCCCTGGGGTCACTGTCCAGGTCACTTCTCCTCCACCCCTTCCAGAGCTCAGGGCTGCCCCCTCCCCCTTCCATTCCCAATGCGCCACAGAAGCTGGCCCTTAGCAATGTGGGGGTGACCCCCATCTAGCCCCATCACCTACCTAGCTCACCAGGCCACTCTGCCCCAGGGCTGGCCTCCTAGGTAGCCTCTGCTCTTTCTGTCCTGCAGGGGGCTGGTGACGCAGGCCCTGTCACTGCTCCTGGACTTGGACGGGCAGCCTGTGTTGGAGCGCTGGACCTCAGATGATGAAGATAACGCCTCGAGTGATGAGGATGAGGAGTTCCCAGAGCTGAGTGGCCCATTCTGCTCAGAACAAGGTGACCCTGCTTTCCAGGCTTACAGCCTCCCCAGAGCCCAACCTAGAGGCCCTGCGGGGCATGGGGAGAGCCAAGGTAGCAGTGGTGTCTGGGCGGTGGCCCAAAGCCCAGATCAGCATCTGGGTCAGAGTGGGGGCACAGTGCAGCCAGTGCCAGGTGCCAGTCTTGGGCAGGCAGGTGACACTCCTCCTAGTCCAGGGCTCCTGCAGTCAGAGCCCTCTCAGAGCAGCAGCTCTACCTGCCACCCTGGCCCCTCATAGGCTTCCTCAAGGAGCTAGAGCAGGAGCTGAGCAGGCAGAAGGAGCTCAGACAGCAGACGGCCTTGACAGAACACCTTCTGAGGATGGAGACACAGCCTGCTCTCACTGACCTGCCCCCATTGCCTGGGGTGCCCATGGCTGGGGATAGCAGCCCCTCTGTCCCTCCTGAGCAAGGCAAAGAGGCCCCACCCGAGGCTACCTCCTCACCCCAGGCCTCCTCTCTCACCAAGAAACCCTGTACTCTGGTCCCCTGGGGCCAGGAAAGTGCTGTCCAGACAGGGAAGGGAGCCCCAGCAGCCACAGTCCCCAAAGTCTCCCCAGTGGGGGTCCCCAACACAACCAAAACAATGACCAAAAGAACCAGGAAGTGAAGTGCAGCCTGTCGCTGACAGTGGAGGGCAGGGCAGCCTCCCTGTCATCTGCGAGTGAGGATGAGCAGGAACTCACCCCAATAAAGTGTCTTGAGGCCCCTAATGTGTCTGTGGTCGCAGCTCAGTTAAAGTGCCAGGAAACAGAAAACATAGAGCCTTAGGTTGCAGCCTGATTCCAAACAGCAAGTTTCTCTTTCAGAAACTGCCCAAAGGGTTGCCACCCTCAGGCCCCTAGCCGCTTCCTGGCTCCTGAGTGGGCAGGAAGTAGGCACTTGAGAGAGGATGCGATCTCACAGTGGGCATATCTCAGAGCCACCCCAAAGCATCCCCTTCCCAGGTCTAGGCCGAGGGTCAAACGCCTGTGGTCTTGGTTCTCTCCACGCAGTAGCCAGCTACCAGGCCAGGCCTGGTCATCATGCCCACCCTCCTACAGCTAGGGAGGCCCTCCCTATCCTCATAGTCCCCTGCCCCTGCCTCCACCACCTGGTCCCCATCATCTGCACCCTACGTATTTGCAGCCAGGTTGCTGGACGGTGCTCTGTGAGGCCCAACCTGCACAGGAAGGTTCCACATTCTAGTCCAGAGACCTCCCTCAGTACACTGGGAAGTCCTTGGAAGCAAATCCAGAAAAAAAGGAAGAATTGGCTGCCCAGCAGGACAAGTACAGGCCCTGCAGCCAGCTCGGGCTGCCCTTTGCACTCACTTGGCTCTCCCACTCCCACTGGACCTGAGATCAAGTTCACTGAGCAAGAAACTAAAACATTTATTAAGGCAAAGGCCGGGCTGGCTAAGTAGAATACGGCCGAGGGGCATGAAGGGATCGCTCTGTTCCTGATGCCCTCAAGCTCCTGCATCTGCCCCCAGCCCTGCAGCAGCTGCTTAGGCATAGGCCTGGCTCTCCTTCTCCACGAATGCCTGGAAGAGTCCACCCAGTTCCTGGGGCTCTGGAGCCCACTCGCCAGTCAACAGCCCCCGCACAGCCTCCAGGCCGTCCTGCTCCAGGTCCCGCTGCTGCTGCCGGAGCTGCTGTCCCCGATCCTGAGAAAAGGCCGAGATGAGCCTGCCTGAGAGTGCCAAGCCTCACCGCAAAAGGGAAGGACTACCTGGCTCTCTCCCGGGCAGGAGGCTTTGAAGGGAAAGCCCCTCTCCCCAGCCATGGAGTCTCTCTTTCACTCCCAGGGCCCCTCATATTTCCAGAGCTATGTCGTTCCCCAGGAAGTCCCCATTCCCTGCAGGTTACCTGCTCACTCTCCATCAGCCCCAGGGCTGTCTGGTGTCCACGGTAGAGGGAATGCCGGCGATCCACCTGAGTCTGGAATCGGGGCAGGATCCGAACAGGATCCTGTGCTCCAAAAGTGGGGGACAGCACTTGGGGGGCTTGGGCCACCCCCGCCCCGAACACGAAAGGCTTGAACACTGACCTGATGGCACATGGATGGAAGATGGAGGTGTATCACGTCCCACCGTCTCCTGCCCACTCCTCCCTCATTCCTCCCACGCCCACCTGGACGGGTCAGGCGTGGCAGTGAGGAAGTGGACGCAGGGCAGTGTGGGGTCCCGGGGCAGAATGGACACCATGCTGGCTGTGGTGCGGAAGCCCCCAGAGTCCATACAGATGCCACTCTCCTTATTCCTGAGGATGCCCATCATCACCTCCGCAGTGATGCCGCCTGCCAGGAGGAGAGGGTGAGGGCCTCAAACTGAGCCCCTGAAGTGTTGGGATGGGAGCGTCTGCCCGCACCCCCGTCCAGCCCTCACTGACCTTGCTGTTGCTGCAGCAGCTCCCGCCCAGCCCGGAAGCGGGCCTTGGCAGCCTCCATGCGCACAGGTTGCTGGGTCAGGGAGAACACCTGAGCAAAGTCAAAGGTGCCCTGCCCACCCCACCAGCCCTGGGCCTGGGCGTGGGTCCGGAGCTCCGGGTGTTCGGCTGAGATGTCGGTGCCAATGCTCAGCTGGTTGGAGATGTTGCGGGCCCCCTCTGTGGAGGCGACGGGCACATCAGGGAGTCATTCATTTATCACGAAGCACCTCTTCTGTGCCAGCACTGGTCTTGGTGCAGAGAGCAGCGTGGTGAAGAGAACTACCCACCCTCACAGTGCGGTGGGGGAGACAGAACAAACACGGGGATTAATGCAAACCTGCATTGATCTGGGCAGTGTGGTGATGATGATCCTTGCCTACGAGGGGGAAATCTGAGCTCCCATGGAAGTCCAGAAGGGCTTCCCAGAGGAAGCAGCAGACTTAGTCAATTAGAGGGAAGGGTTCCTAAGAGGGCTTATCTCTCTGTATGTCCTGAGAGTTTTGCACCTGGATCCCTGCCCCACCATCTCTCTCACTTCCCAAGGTTGGAAAAGGGGAGGAAAAACACCTCCGGGAGACAGGCCCCAGTGCTAGGCCCCTCACCCTGGATCCGCTGTGCAGCCCACAGTCTCCCGGCTGTCTCCAGCACCCACGCCTCAGTCCGATCAGCCAGCAGGAAGGTGTTGTGGTAGCAGAATGACGTGGGGTCCTCCCGGCAGCTGCCCCCCTGCCCATAGCGCTCCAGCAAGCCTGTGATGACATGCAAGGCCTCCTGGGCAGAGCTGCCCCGTTCTAAAGCCAGCCTGGCAAAGAGGGTTTTTTTGAGAGATTTTGGCTATAAGGCGCATGTGCTCGCCAAAAAGACAGAGGGACAGAAAGCGAAAAATCCCTCCCTGGGGGGATGGTCACGCCCCAATCCCTTCTCCATTCTTCTCTCAGGATTTTGGGCATGCACACACGCCTGGCATGAGTTTCAAGTTGCCAGTTCCGGGACTTGAACCGCAGTTGGCCACATGGGAGTCCAACACCTCAACCACTGTGCCACCTGCTGGTCCCGGTGATGGGGTTTTAATGGACAGTGTACAGAATAGGCCAAAAGAGGGACCAGCAGTTAGCATAATGGCTATGTCGCTGGACTCCCATGTAGCTGACCATGGTTTGTGTCCCAGACCGGGTGGCTTAAACTCACTCCGGGCACGTGTGCATGCGTGCCCAAGATCCCGAGAGGAGAATGGAGGAAAAGGGATTGCGGCGTGGCCATCCTCCCGGGGGTAATTTCTTGCTTTCTGTCTCTCGGTCTCTGTCTGTCTGGCGAGTGCTTGCGCCCTATAGCAAAAACCTCTCCAAAAAAAAAAAAAAAAAGAATAGGCCAAAAGAGGTTTTGTGACAGGCCCAAGTCACACGCAAATCTGCTGGCATTAATCACATTAAACAGTTATACCAGTGGTTTTCAAGCTGTGCTGAGGGTTCCGTGAAAAGGCCTGCAAGATAGTCTCAGAAAAGTATCCTGAGGCACATGTCTTCAATCAGAGCTGCTCTACTTTTATCAGTTTTATAAATCAGGACTCTACACGAGATTTTGTGTGTTTGTCTTTTGTTACAGAGCATGTGCCCTCACTAGAGAGAGACAGAGAGAGAGAGAGAGAGGAAACGTGAGACATCACTCCCCAGGGGGATGGCCACATCATAATCCCTTTTCCTCCAGTTATCGGCATTTGGGGCATATATTCACATGCCTCTGGCATTTGAAAGCAACTAGGTCCAGGCCTGGAACTGTGCAGTCAACCATGTGGAATCCAGCGCCTTAACCTCCACACCACCTGCTGGCCCTGTAGGGCATTTCAACTGAAAAAATTTATATCTATTAATTAAAAAAAAAAAAAAATGGGGAGGGGGCTCTGTATCTTAGTGGTTAAGGCAGGTGGCTCCCACATGGCTGACCATGGAATTCAAGTCCCAGACCTGCTGGCTTTAGAAACACGCTGAGAGCCTGTGTGTACGTACCCAGAATCCCGAGGAGGGAGAAATGGAGGAGAGGCGATTGCAGTGTCAGCATGCCCCGTGGGGATGCTTTCTCCTTTCCTCTCTCTGTCTCTCTGTCTCTCTGTGTTTCTGTGGCAAGCACACAAGCCTCTAGCCGAAAGAAAAGAAGGAAAGAAAGAAAAGTAACTGCTGCCCTGTTCTGGACCAGGAGAGGCCCACAGGTGACCACAGCCGGAGGCTCCTTATTAGACGGGGGGCGGGGGGGAGGGGGCTGATAAGGTGGAGATGGCCTCTAGAAATCAGGTTGAGGGAGGGTAGGATGAACCTGGATTGCAACTCAGCCCCCCAGATAGTCCTGGTGTGTTGGGGAGTTGAGGAGGGGCAGGATGCACACCTGAGTAGGTCCATGCCCAGCAGGGCTTCTCCCTCCCCAACTGGCTCCTTGGTCCACACGGCCTCGTTGCCAATGCAAACACCACACTCGTTGGCACCCATCTCGGCCCCCCACAGCCAGGAAGGGCGGCTCAGAATCACAGCATGCGTCTTCGACACCTGTTCCACCTCAATGTAGGTGCACTGGAGGCGAGGGAGGAGAGAAAGGGAGCATCCACTCAGAAAGGGCACAGTATGGGGTGCTGGCAGGTGGTGTGGTGGTTGAGATGCTGGACTTCCACATGACTAACTACGGTTCGAATCCCAGACTTGGTGGCTTGCTTTCTCACCTTCTCTCTCTGTCTCTCTTTGGTCAAAAATAAAAATAAATAATACTTTTTTTTTTTTTGAGAGGTTTTTGCTATAGGGCACATGCTCGCCAGACAGACAGAGAGAGACATAGAGACAGAAAGCGAGAAATCACCCCCCAGGGGGGATGGTCACGCTGCAATCCCTTCTCCTCCATTCTCCTCTCGGGATCTTGGGCACGCACGCACACGCGCCCGGCGTGAGTTTAAGCCACCGGGTCTGGGACGCGAACTGTGGTCGACTATGTGGGAGTCCAGCGACATAGCCATTACGCTAACTGCTGGTTCCCAATAAATAAATAATTCTTCAAAAAAAAAAAAAAAAAAGGGCACAGCATATACAGCACACTGGCACTTTGCCAGATGCCTTACACATCCCAGGAAGCTGCTATGGTCCGAATGTGCTAGATCTGGGTTGTATTGTGAAGCTATTAAAAGGAAACTTAATCTGATTATTGTGTTGAAAGGTGGGGCCTTTGGGAAGTAATTAGGTATCAGCGTGGTGGGCCCCCACGAAATAAAACAGAGACACACAAACCACTCTGCTCTGCTCTGTTCAGACTCTTTCCTGTAGACATGTGAGGCCTTCTACTATGTTACCCATCAGCAGTAAGACACCCACTCACCAGATGAGGGCCCTGGTCTCCAAACCAAAGCTGAATAAACCTCCCCACCCCCCCCCCCACAGCCCCCCCCCCCCCCGCATAGGATGCATGTGTTCCCAGAGACAGGGAGAGGTAAAGTGAGAAATCACCCCCCAGAGGGGATGGCCATGCTGCAATCCCTTCTCCTCCATTCTCCTTTTGAGATCCCAGGCATACACGTACATGTGCCCAGCATGTGCCCAGGCTGCCAGGTCAGTACTCTGACCACACAGTTGGCATGTGGGATCCAGCTCCTCAGCCAGCAGGCCACCTGTTGACCCCTGAATAAACCTCTCTCATAACCCAACTCAGTTTCAGGTCTTTTCTGTTACTAGCAACATAATGGACTAGAATGGGAGTTCTTATTCCCATTAGGTGAGGAACGCAGTCCCACAGAGATCGAATACAGGTTCAAGGCCCAGGTTGGTAGACTTGTGGCTCATGCTCTTTCCATTCCCTCTGGCAGGTATGGGGAGCAGAGGAAGGGCTTAGAAAAACGCCTAGATCTGCTGCCCCTCTTAGCACCCTCTGAGGCCTAACCCACCTGGAGCCGGCTCCCAGGGCTGTGTGTGCCTGCTGGTACAAACACCACCTCCTGCACCTCGTCCCGTGGTCGGTCAGAGTTTTTGGCAAAGATCACGGCTGGGATCTCCGAGGCCGGGGGCAGGGAGACAAAGCAGTCGCAAGAACACGGGGTGTCAGGGCTCAATGATGTCATCTGGAGAGACGTAGAGATGCGTATGTCCCTCCCAGGCCACCTCTTCACAGTCCTGGCCACCTCCCCCAACACGTGCAGATACCCACGGCACCCGCACCGCACACACACTCCATGAACGGTGTGCGCAAACGGAGCTATCCAAGCCTAGTTTGGGAGTCAGCAGGCGGGCACGGATCCTGCATAATCCGAGGATCTCGCCGCTACTGGGAGGCCTGGCCCTTGCGGTCACTCCTGCGACAGTTTCTCTCGCTCCCCCGCCCTCCTCCAAGAGTCTCACACTCTGGCGCATGCCCAATGAGTCGCCTCTCTTCTGTCCATCCCTCCTTGCTTTTCTAATCAATAGGGTATGCCTCTCACCCTCTCTTCGTTCAAGACCCTCAACTGGATTCTCGGCGCCTCCTCCTCCGCTTCAGATCAGGTCCGTCCCAGGTGACTGGGAAGGCCTTTGACCGCGGGGTGGGGGTTGGGGGTGGAGCCGGACCCGGAACAGAGCACCTGCAGTACCGCCGTTTTCCACCAGGGCTCGCGTTAGCACCATTTCTTGGAACAGAGAGCTCTTCAAGTCCTCCCGGCTCCCCAGCCCTACTGCTGCGCGTTTCAGGCTCAACTGATTAGGGCTCGGTCGAATCCTAGAGCTCATCCAATTGGGTCATTTTGGGAAATCGGAGCTGGTGGTAGAAAGGAGTCCGGATTCATCAAAGACCAGGTCTCCTGGGCATCTGGAGATTAAGAAGCTCAGCTACTCAGGTCCTGGCTTGAACTCCAAAGGCACAAATCCCAGGCTGGGAGTGTGTGTGTGTGTGTGTGTGTGTGTGTGGCGGGTGGTGGTGGTTAAATACATAAGAGTGGTCACAACTAGAAAGTAGAGGGAAATTTTATGTTAATGCAATTTTGTAAAAGGCATGTATGGGGCCGGCAGGTGGCATGGTGGTTAAGGGCACTGGACTCCCACGTGGTCTACCCCGATTCCAGTCCCAGACCTGGCCGGCTTGCTTTCTCACTTTCTCTTTCTCTCCCCCCTCTCCCTCTCTGACCAAATTTAAGTAAGTAAGTAAATAAATAAATAAATAAAGTTAAATTAATAATAATTTTTGAGAGGTTTTTGCTATAGGGTGTGTGCGCTTGCCGGACAGACAGAGAGAAATAGAGAGACAGAAAGCGAGAAATCACCTCCCAGGGGGGATGGTCACGCCACAATCCCTTCTCCTCCATTCTCCTCTCTGGATCTTGGGCAAGCATGCACACGCGCCCGGCATGAGTTTTAAGCCACCGGGTCCGGGACGCGAACCGCGGTCGGCTACGTGGGAGTCCAGCAACATAGCCATTACGCTAACTGCTGGTTCCCTAATTAATAATAATTTTTGAAAGGCCTGTATGCCAGCTGTAGTGGCTTGGGTAATGCAATGCTCAGCAATGCGAGGCCTTTGGGAAAGTCTGGGGTTTACATCCCAGCACAGCACAGGGGCCCATAGTCCTGACTGGCTAGGGCTAGGGGTAAGTTCTCAGTATGAGGACCCTGTTGGAGATGCCTCCCTTTTTCTTGAATGGAGGAAGCAAGCCAGCAAACAAACAAACAAAAGGCTGGAATCAGCAGGTGGTTAAAGTACTTGGGTCCAACATGGCTGACTCCACAGTAGAGTCCCAGAACCAGTGGCTTGAGAATCACATCAGATGTGTGTGTGCAGTGCCCCAAACCCTGAGAGAAGCCGGGTGGCTATCCCCCCACGGGGTGATTTTTCACTTTCCCTCTCTTTCTGTCACCTTCTTTCTCTCTCCAGGCAGTGCATATGCCTTACAGCAAAAACTTAACATATAAAAATGAAAAATGAAAAGGCAAGCAGCCCTGTTGCCTAGTGGTTAAGGGAGCTAAATTTCACATGGCTGACTACAGTTCGAATCCTGGCCCCTGTGCTTGAAATACATGCTGGGCCCATGTGTGTGGGGTGCCCCAAATCCTGACAGGACAGAAAAATGGAGAATTGTGGTGTGACCACACCATTAGGGGGATGCTTTTTTTTTTTTTAAAGAATTATTTTTTATTATTTAGCTTTTGTTTTTTTATTTTAATCTGACCAGAGAGGGACAGAGAAAGCGAGTGGGAGGGAGGGAAAGTGAGAGAGCAAGCTGCCAGGTCTGAGACTTGAACCACAGTCAGCCATGTGGGAGTCCAGTGCCCTCAACCACTACACCACCTGCTGTCCCTAGCCTGTGCTTATTCCTTCTCCCTCTCTGGCAAGTACAAGCCCTTCTGGCAATTCAGATAAATAGGGGCCGGCAGATGGCGTAGTGGTTGTGGTGCTGGACTCCCACATGGTCAACTACCATTCAAGTTCCAGACACGGCAATTTGAAACTCAAGCCAGGCGCATGTGTGTGCATGCCCAAAATCCTGAGAGGAGTGGTACCAGCAGGTGGTGTGGTGGTTAAGGTGCTGGACATGCCCACATGGCCAACCACAGTTTGAGTCTCGAACTTAGTGGCTTGCACTTTCTGTCTGTGTGTGTGTGTGTGTGTGTGTGTGTGTGTCTAGTCAAATTAAGATAAATAAATGAATGAATAAATAAATAAATAAATAGGGACCAGCAGTTGGCATAATGGCTATGTCACTGGGCTCCCATGTAGTCGACCAGTTTGAGTCCTAGATCCAGTGGCTTAAACTCATGCTGGGTGCATGTGCATGCATGCCCAAGATCCCGAGAGGAGAATGGAGAAGAAGGGATTGTGGCATGGCCATCCCCCCGGGGGGGTGACTTCTCACTTTCTCTGTGTCTCTGGTGAGCACACATGCCCTATAGTAAAAGTCTTTCTTTAAAAAAATGAGAAGGCACATACTCACAAAACCCATTTGATCCCCCAAATTTTATTCTTCCCATAGTACTCAAGCACATAGGAAGATAGCTTTGAAAAGACACTTAGAAATTTCTAGTCTAAAGATTTGGTGCCTTTACACATAGTGAAAATCAAATATCAAAGGTTAAGTTTTTGGCCAAGGGGGACACAGTGGTGTGAAGGTAGGTCCTGATCCCAGATGTTCTGGCTTCCAGTTCATTTTTCCTCTATAAATCATCTCTACACCCACCATTTAAGCAAATGCATCTCACACCATTTTGCTCTGTAAAGCCCTCCAGGAATGGAGGTGGGAGAAAGTTGCACGTTACCTAATTCTAGGGATTGCATTGAATCTGTAGACCACTTTGGGTATTTTGAACATTTTAGCAGGATTAATTCTTCCAATCCGTGAACACAAAATATCTTTCCATTTATTTGTGTCTTCTTCAGTTTCTGTCATCAATGTCTTATCATTTTCAGTATACGGATCTTTCATCTCCTTGGTTAAATTTATTTCTAAATGTTGTTGCATTTGTTCAGCTTTTTGGTAGCTATTAGTAAATGAGATTTAAGGTTTTTTTTCTTTATTCGTGATAGAGTGCATGTGCACATGAGAAAGAGAGAGGAGGGAAGGAGAGAGGCACCCCCCACAGAGTCTGGTCGTGACTCAATCCCCTTCATACACTCCTCCAGCCCATGGGATCCTGGGCACTAACGCGCACACGTGCCCGGCATGTGTTAGGCTAACCCGGCCAGGGATTCTAACTGCTGTGGAATTTGGCTTCTGCTGAACAGAACGTTACCCCTATGCCATAAAGCCTGCATTGGTGCAATGTCTGGGAGGGCTTGTGAGGTTGCCAGTGGATGTCATTCCAGATGTCAAGCTGTGTGCTGACAGGTACCCAAGCAGCCTGCAGGAAAGCTGGGACACCTCCTGCACTTCCCAGACGCCCCGCTGTGGGGCAGGGACGGGCAGGGGAGAGGCACAGAGAGCCCCAGGCTGCAGTTCTCAGGCTGCCTTCCTCTCACTTTCCCATTCCTAGTTCATTCACCCACCCTGGAGGAAATCTACACACTTCCCAGGAGAGGGCATGGCTCAGAAAGGATGCACAGAGAGTCTACCCTGATGTTCTGTTCCAGAACTCCCTCCTGGCCCCTCCAGGATTATCCTGTGAGGGGGTCTGAGTGGCCTTGCGCTCTGTAAGGGGCGTCAGGCCGGCCAAGCAACATTGCAAGCAGGCAGGCTAGCGTCAGAGCCCCACCAAAGGCCCCCGCTAAGAATGCAGGTCAACGGGAGGAGCTGCGGGGAGGAGGAGCTCTAGCCCTGCCCAGACTGGCCCAGCAGGCCCCAGAGCTGCCCTCCTGTCCCCGGGGCAGCAATCAGGGGAGAACAAGGGGGGGGGGGGACACCAGGTACCTAGGGTCTTGCTACCTCAGAAGCAGGAGACCTAAGAGGTACCTCTAGGAGTGAGGCAGGCATGAGGTCTCAGGACATGTCTGTCCCTCCTCCTCCTCTCAGACTTCAAATTCAAGGCAGATGAAAATAAGAATTTGGGCCCCCAAATCAGTCTGGTTTCCTCTGTAACCCCTAAACTATCCTGATAATAATTTAACCCCCATCTTGAGGTGGCTTTAAACTTGATGACCCCAAAATCTCCCTAACAAGTCATGGGATGGGCCAGCCCAAGTACCAGATCTGTCACCAAGAAATCAGATTTGGGCTAGAATGGGGAAATAGAAATCCTGTTGGGGAAAATAACAATGTTGACTAAAATAAATAAATAAAGTAGAGAACACAATAACGTACTCTTGTCCATTTGGACCCCCAAAATTGATCTTCTGTCCTAGCTCTGGGGCTCAGGAATCACGAGTTTTTTACTCACTTGACATGAATTAGGCACCAAGTGTGTGCCGGGCATCGGGCCGCCTGGGAACATGTGTACAGATGGGCATTCCTCGTACCTGTGAGGGCGGGCTCTGGAAGGGGCTGGTGGGGTATGTTTGTGCACGGGCAGTTGTGTAACTGTGGCGGGTCTCTAGCTGTGAGTTGCAGAGGAGCCTTTCCCTCATACTTTCCAGCTGGGCAGGAGCCCATCAGATATCTTGGCTGCCTTTCATCACCTTGTCTCCGATAGGGATCATCCTGGGTGAAGAAATCGCTGTCAGTCACCCCCACCTTACTGCCAGCCAGAGGGACTGACTGACATGCAGCACACCCCCATGGGAGAGGGAGCCAAGAGGATGGCTGTGTCTGGGAAGGGAGGGAACCAATGTTCTTAGCAGGGGAGGGGAAGGGAGGGGCTTGTGTGGAGGAAGGAACTATCTAGAACTTTCTCATCCCATAGCTGAAGGCCAGGGAGGGGCAGCTCAGCTACTGACCTAGAGGGAGCTCCTCACTCCTGGGCAGCACCAGACCCCAGCTCTGACCCAGCCACAAAGAGGTGAGGCTGCCCAGGGGCTGCAGGATCAAAGCAAAGTGTCCACTCCACCCTCTGGCCCAGACCTGGTCCTCACTGCTGAAGCACACTGAGTCAAAAAGGAAACTGAGCTAGAAGACAAATGAAGCAATGATGTGGTTGATGACTTTATTGTTGCATAAAAAACACAGGCTGCTTCTTTCTCCTCCCCCCTAAAGTGGGTTCACAGCAGTTAAAGAACAAATAATCCTACATTTTTCCTCTAGGGGGGCTGCCTGAGAAGGACAGGCAGCCAAGCAACCTAGATCTACGGAAAAGGGGAACAGAAGAAAACCTACGCAGAGCCCCTACCCACACACCTTAGAGCTCGGGGCTTCTATGGGGGAACTTCCAAGTCCCCCCACCACCAACACCCATTGGGGAGTTCCCCTTAGAATGGTCACTGGAAAAGGCTGTCTTGGTGGCACAGGGAGAGGGTGGCTAGTTTCGATGGGTGGAGGAGAAAGGTATCCCACGCCCACAGTGCCCTGTTTTCCCCTCCTCTCCACCTGGCCAGGCAACCTGCAGGCCACAGCCCACTCTTCTCCTGCCCCCAGCCTCTCAGC